AGGCAACAAGTACTCACCACGGTCAGAGGCTATGGTTGCAAGGATTTCTCGATGGACCAACTCTGCCACCCACCAGATTCATACCAGGACAAGAAAAAGAGCTTTTGCAAGCGAACCCGGAATTCATTAGCTGGCAAAGACAAGACCAGCTGCGTGCCTCATGGCTCCTATCTTCACTCTCAGAGTCCATTTTGATCTCGGCGATAGGTATGAACAGTTCCTCTGAGATATGGAAAGGATTAGAGGCCTCATTCTCCACTAGATCTAAGGCTAGAACAATGCACTATAGGATCTAGTTGCAAAACCTGAAAAAGGAAAATCTCAGCATTAGAGAATATATCAACAAAATCAAAGTTCGTTGTGATACTCTAGCTGCAGGGGGTCATATTATTTCTGAGCAAGATTAAATCATGCATGTTCTTAGTGGATTGGGGTCTGAATATGATGCAATGGTTGTGAGTGTTAATGCAAGACCTGAGAGCCTCACAATGGTGAATGTTATGTCCATGTTGTTGACTTATGAGAGCAGACTAGAGACAGCTGCAGTGGCTACTGAAAGTGTAAACATGCCCACAGCTAATCTTGCCACTCAAACAAACAAGGCAACACATAACTTTGGTGGCAGAGGCAAAGGAAGTTTTAGAGGAAGAGGTAGAAATGCATGGGGCATAAGTGGAGGCCGAAACTCTGGAAATCGAGTTCAATGCCAAATTTGTGGTTACACAAATCATCCAGCAGACAAATGCTATTACAGGTTCAATCTTGATTTTGTCCCAAGAGATCACCCCCAAAGAACCTTCAATGACAACAGAAGTGTTAGCAATCAGTCCTCAGCCATGTATGCAGCAAGGGACAACACTAGTGAAAGTGAATGGTTCCCAAATTTAGGAGCATCACATCATCTTACAAATGATTTCTCCAATGCAGTGGCGTCATACTTCTCCTGCAGAGCCTTGGCACTGGAGCCATGCGACTTGGACTCCTCGAGAAGAGTGCGATCGCATACGCCATGAACTACAAGCAAATAGGAAACAAGTCGGAATTAAAGAATGAATGAGTGAAATCGACTAAAAAGAAGTCGAGAGAATTACCCGTGAAAAGCAGAGAAGGGCAAGGTTGGCATGATCATAGGGCTCACAATCGGCGCGAGCCTTATCCGTCGGAGGAATGATGGAGTCGAGGTACTTGGCCACCTCGTGAGGAACCGGGTGGTTCCAAAGTCGAGATGGCCTCTCGACGGTGACCCTCTCGACGGAGACGGGGGAGGGAGGAGGCCTCTCGACCGCTTTCCCCTTACCTTTTGGGCACTTGAGCACCTTGGGCACCAAGACGACATCCCTATCGTCCTGGGCCCTCTTCCGGGATTGCGAGCCAGTGTTTTATGCTGCTTGGCAGCTGAAGGGTTCTCGACCCTTAATTTCATTGCAGCAGTCGCCTCGACTGCTGCCTCTTTAGGCTTCGACCCGAAGCCACCCTCGGGTCTGGGCGGAGGAACGGGTCCGCCGGCCGGCTTGTCAGCCGATTGTTTTTTCTTCACTTTGAAACGCTTGAGTGCTTTAACTGAAACAAAGCAAAAAAAAAAAAAAAAAAAAATGATTAATGATCATAGGGCACACAGTCGCGACAAAATACTACCTTCACATAAGAAAATAAGACCCAACTCTTGACACACTTGAAAAAAAACAAAAGTGAAAGTTATCAACAGCTTACTGGGATCGTCGAGTCGACGGCCATTCTCATCGACACAGATGCCCACATGATTAAGAAGAGAACTATCTCTAATTAACTGACGAGCACTATATGTACACTTATTCAACTCGTCGAGCATAGCAGCAAAGTGACTAGATCGAGGTCGTTTTCGCTATTTAACCTTGCTGGTGTTCCAAGTATTGACAAAGGGGTATTGACCGAAAGCTGGACGAATAAAAAAGTATTTCGACTTCCACTCGGTGAAGTTTGAGGAAAGGTCGTGAAGAAAAGTCACCCCAGCATGACGACCCAGACAATGGGCGTCTTTTACAAATCTTTACCCGTAACAGTAATGGAAAAACTCGAGAAGGAAGCTACCTAGCATTATTCGGAAACGACAATGAAAGCCACAATTATGCGAATAGAGTTGGGGGTAAACTAATTATTTGGTATATCGTACAAGTTAGAAATAGAGAGAAGCTCGGGTTGAATAGGAAATCGCACACCGAACATTATTTGGTCGACAAAGAAGGAGTAACAGCCGGAAGGAAGATGTTTGAAGTCGTCATTAGGGCTGGGGGCGATTAACTCCCAGTCTGAGGGAAGGCCACTGTAAGCCCTGAAACCCTCAATTTCGGCTGCAGGGGCATAAGAGAAAGGAGTAAGAACAGCTAACTTTACTAATGGACAGGCTAATGTTACATTATCTTTAGGCTCGACGAGAGGAGCAATTATTGAAAAAGGTACAGGACTCGTCCTATATAGAGGAATGTCTAAACACCTAAGCGGGATACCTTGAGGGATGAGGCTCAGACGAGGACTCTTGGCCCGAGGAGAATTTCGGAGCTCGTCAACCAGTTGACCCGACAAGAGTGCCTGATTATAATCGTCCCAATCGACGCCAAAAGAAGAAACTTCCGAAGGGGGAGAGTTTTGTTGCTCGTCTACAAGCTTCTAACCGACTACTTGAACAAAATCAGAGTCTGAATACCCATCGATTTGGTGAGTGATGGAGCCAGAGAGGGAAGCATATTCGAAAGCTAAAGAAAAATATAGAAAGAAGAAAAACACGATGATCAGTAAGCGAAACGAAAGCTAACACTTAGAGTATCGCAGAAAGAGAAATCGAGTCGATTTGAAAAACTTTAACCTACTCGACTCGACCTGACCGAAAACAAGAAGACGCAGGGAAGTAACAAGAGTCATGGGATTCAACCGACTCGACAGAAATGAATTAATAAGTCGACATGAGTCGACTCATAAGGGGAAGCGAAGTCGACTTCATGCACTAAATTGACTTTCCGGCAAAACACATTAATAGTGCAAGGTTCATATGTTAGATCTAACGCCAAAAATCACCAGAAAGTACCAGGAAAACTTTGAAGAACAGGAAGAATGCATGCGAACTTTAAAATCTAAAAAGCCTAGAAAGGGTAAAAAATCTGCGAAAATGAGAGAAGAAAAGAAACTTACACATGATGATTGTTGAAGAAGTTCTGGGGAATCTGGAAATTCGCCGGAAGATATGAACACCAGTAAGAGCCGAGAGTGCTGCGATCACCGGAGAGATTGAGAGAATTCGAGAGTTGAAGAGAGCGAAAAGTGATTCGAAGAAAGAATGAAGGATACTTATAGGATGAGCCACAAATTGATGACCGTTGGATCTGAATCAAGGCACGAAAGTCTAAGTGGTGGAATATGAGGCGGCGTATCATCACAGGATTCAAGTTGCGAAATTTGAAATTTAAAAAGGTGTCAGAACCTATCAGGAAAACCTATCCAAAAAATCCTAAGTGTGGAATTGGATTACTAGATGGGACCATGGATAGCGGGATCAAGTCGAGCAGAAACATCTAGAGGAATCTCGACATCGAGAAAAGAATAATGTTAAGATATACCTCCAAACACTTATTACTCGACCCAGAGGGCGGTTCGAATCGTCTTCATATCGACTGAATAGCACTGAAGTTGACATCCCAAAATCGACACCTCGTCAGCCGACTCCTCTTCATGAAGTAACCGAAGAAAGATGTCGGTTCTACCAAAGTCGACGTCCTCAATGTCGACTTATTGAAGTCGACCTCCATCAAGAGAGACGAGCAAACGTAGCCTTTGAACGTACACATGAGGATCCTAAGTCGATCTCCTGACGCTGGAGGTCGACTCCCTGCACCTCGAGGCCCAAAAACACACTGATGATTTAATACACTTGCAATATCTCTTGAAGTCTCACATTCCCTAATGGATAAGAAGGAATATTGTGATGACTAAGCAGTGAGGAGAGACGAATCGATTGGGGTAATTTAGACATTTCAAGTAGACCGACTGGGGCATTTTGGGTACTTCAAGTAAGTGTTTTCTCTTATGTAAAGGGGCTGAGGTAACCCTAAACCCTAACTTCTATTCATTATATACACTTTCCTCTCCTGCTGTTGTTGCTCTCTCAGAGCAGCCTTCTTCTTCATCTCTTTCACATATTGACTTGAGCGTTGGAGGCTCTACGCCGGAAACACTTCCGGCGTTGAGTTATTGCAGGTATTGCGGTGTTCTAGCAACGATTTGGAGGCGGTTCAAACAGATTTGAGCTCAAAACCACCGGTTCACTTCAGATCCAGAAGTAGACCCATCACCATTGATGAAACCTAATTTTGATTTCTCTCCAAGTGCTAACCTCATTGCACGACTCCAGTGAAGATAATTGGATCCGATGAGCGGATTGCTTACCAGCACCATTCTATGGTGGTCTGAACCGTGAAGCAAAAGCGAATCTGAATCGCGTGTGTATCTGTTGACTGTCGTCTCTCTTCCTTCTCTGCCATCGCCATTGCGCGACATTGATGACCTGCTGTAGATACCATGTAGAGCTAAGAGCTTAAGAAATTTGGGAAATTTTCTCTGTATTATTTTATATGAAAATCACAATACAAAGTAAATGATGCTCGATTATGTAGTCGAGCTTAAGATCCCATAATGACCAATATAATATCGCCACGTCACCTAACTAGAAAATAAAACCCAAAGCTGCTAAAAGAGAAGTACGCCTTTATAAGTAAAGGAAAATGCTACAATCCCGTTACGGAACCATTTCGTTGGGATTTGTAACCGTTAGATCTTCAAGTAACCGTCAATAATAGTTGATCTAACGGTTACACATCCCAATGGAATGGTTCCGTAACGGAATTGTAGCATTACCCATAAGTAAAAGGCTGACTTAACGAGAACAAAGGAAAATAAAGTAAAAATAACAAAGGAAACAAACAAGAACAGAATTGTCATGCACAACACATGCATAAGAACTTGATACACCCAACAGTATTGGCATCACACATCTTGAGCATTCAATCCAAGTGGTTGAGGAGAGAGGGAGATAATTGACATGATAAATTCTACACTGAAGTACAACAGAATTTCATTGCAGATTGACAGGACAAAATTTCCCAATTTACAGGACAAATTCGGCATTAACGCACCCGAAACAATCTTTTGATTGAAAATGTTGGTGATTGAGAGTAAAGAAGGTGCAATAGCATGTATGATATTGTCTTTGCTTTTCCTGGGCACTTGGCCTGCCCTTCTTATGCTCTTAGAAAGGCGGGGCCGAATGCCTCAACACACTTACCTCGATTACACCATCACAAACCTATTGGCTGCTGTAATCATTGCCTTCACATTCGGAGAGATTGGCAAAAACTCGAACGAGAAGCCAAATTTCATCAATCAGCTGTCTCAGGTGAGAACACTTTGTTGCTTTTGAATTTGATTCATCTGTTGAAAGCTTGAATAAGTTGTTAGAAAAATCATTCACTAAATAGATTGTGGAAAGTGTACTGTTTGTGAAATTCAAACCAGAAGACAGAACAAAAAAATTGACTTCTTTTCGAGCTAGAAGCCTAGGAACAATCACATTTTTGTTTATGTCCAAACAAATATACGAAAAAATAAAAATAAAAAATGAATGCAGGATAATTGGCCGAGTGTGATTTTAGCGATGGTTGGAGGTATTGTTCTAAGCCTTGGGAATTTATCGACTCAGTATGCTTTGGCTTTTGTTGGCTTGTCATTGACAGAGGTCATCACATGTAGCATAACTGCCGTGATAGGTAAAGTTTAACTCTATACTATTATAAATTTCTTGATTTCACTTTGTCTTTGTTTGATTTTTCCTTGTTTGAGTTGTGTACATGAGTTGCCTTGTTTTTTGCTAATTCAGGGACAATTATGAATTATTTCTTGGACGACAAAATCAACAAGGCCGAGATTCTTTTCCCTGGTGTCGCATGCTTTTTGGTTGCTGTTTGTTTAGGCTCTGCTCTTCATTCATCCAATGCTGCAGATAATAAAGCTAAGCTCACCGGAAAAGATGAGACGATGTAAATGACTTTTCCCATTAAAATCATTTATATCCAAAATTATTGTTTTGGTTCTAAAATTTAGACTTAAATTACAATTAATTGCATTGATACAGGGAAAATGATGCTCATACCTCCCAAGGACACTATGCAAACAAAGGTACGATTATAATTATTTGTACATGATTTTGCGTGGTCTTTATTTTGTTATTATAAAAGACGACCTGCTTTTTGTTTGTCACTAACGGAGGTGGAGAAAAGGGTTGCCATAAAGGACAAGGCGAAATTCGGAACAGCAGATTTTCTCGTCGAGCTTGAGAATAAAAGGGCAATTAAGGTAGACCTCTCTTATGACAAAGAGGAGTTTTTACCAATGCTTCATATGACAGCATCTTGATTCTCATGTTGTTCTTATTACTGGCTTTTGCCAAATATTTTGGGCATAATTATAGTTCCCTCTCGAATTTGTAGTTTAAAAAAAAAAAAGATGTTAGTTATTATTATTATTATTGCAAACTCTTTTTCCATATTCTGAAAAATATCTTTACAGGTTTTTGGGAAGAGCACTTTTATTGGGTTGGTGATAACATTTTTTGCCGGGATTTGCTTTTCTCTATTCTCTCCAGCCTTCAATTTGGCCACCAATGACCAATGGAATACCTTAAAAGACGGTGTCCCGCATTTGAGCGTGTATGCTGCATTTTTCTATTTTTCGGTTTCGTGCTTTGTGATTGCCATAATTCTCAACATCAGCTTTCTTTACCGTCCCATTTTGGACCTGCCCAAGTCCTCCATTACCGCCTTTATATCAGACTGGAATGGTCGAAGCTGGGCCCTTTTAGCTGGGCTTCTCTGTGGTTTTGGTAATGGGCTTCAGTTCATGGGTGGCCAGGCTGCTGGATATGCTGCAGCAGATGCTGTTCAGGTTTTTACCTAATTTTTACTAAAAAAAAAATAATTAAATATAAATCAGTTTTTGGTGTTTTCAATTGTAAGCTGTTGTTTGTAATCATAAAAACAGAATATTTTCTAAATTTCAGAACTGCGATTATGATTTCCCTTAAGTTGTCTGTATTTTGGCGATAAATTCATTTTGGCTAAAATCATGTTCAATTGGTTTGATTTATTCACAGGCACTGCCACTTGTGAGTACGTTTTGGGGTATACTATTATTTGGCGAGTACAGAAGGTCATCTAGAAGAACCTATATACTTCTCGTGAGTATGATGTTGATGTTTATAGCTGCTGTTGGCATTCTCATGGCCTCATCAGGCCACCGTAAATGATTTTTCATTTTCTTAGAGAAAGCTCGAAAGAGACTAGCTGCTTTTGAGCTGATTTGCTTACTTAGGTTCTGCCATTTTTTGTTACTACAACAAGAAAATGTTATCTGAAACTATGTCTGATCCAAAGCCATGTTGCTGCGGCAATATTTTAATATAAGTGTTCGCTAATTATTTTCGCTATCCGCAAGTGTACGGAGTAACTATAGGTAGTGGCGAGCAAGGTCGTATTTCACAGGAATTGTAGTTAAATTAATTAAGTACTAAAATAACGACGATTAAATATTATCTAGACTAGTGAATTGAATGATGATTATAAATTAAGAATTAAACCAAAAACTAATTTATCTAAATAAATAAAAATAAAATAAGATACAAAAGGTAGATTCTAGGTTATGCTTTCCTCGGAATTAATTCATGAAACGTTTATATTCAAACAAACCTTATTTAATTTTACCAATCGTAGAGATAATCGCTAAATTGATTTCAAACCTTTCTCTCGAACAAGTTAAATCGTAGATATTAATTGTTATCTATTTCCTTTCGGTCTCAAGATGAACAACTAACTCCCATAAATTCCTAAGATTTTCATTCTTTCGCAAGGTCCTATCAACCTCTCGGTCTGTTTATTCTCTTACGTTATAAATCTCCCAATTCTAGCAATCAATTATCTCCTCTCGGTCTCAAATCAATTACAAATATGCATTCATAGTGGCCATCTACTCACACAATAATAATAAGCACAAGAAATTTATAAACGAAAGATAAACCGGAATGAAATAAATAAAAACTAAATCATAAATCAATCGAGTACTAACAAATCCTAGAATCTAAGATAAATCTAGCCTAGAAACATGATTTCAAAATAATAAAAATAGATATAAAACATTGAATTCGAAATAGGAAAAGAAAAGGAAAGAAAAAGCTTATTCGGCTCCGTCGATCCTTTCTTCCCGGCTTTCTCCCTCGTCTTGCTAGTGTTTCTATCCTCCAAAGGTCTCCCAAGATCTGAAAATATGTCCAAGACTCCTAAAAAACGTGTCCAAGGGTTGTATATATAGTTGAGGTCGAGTCCCAGTCGAAATAAGTCGAAAATATCATAAAAATCGAAAAAACGCATCAAACTCGTACAAATCGCGCCCAGGGTCACACGACTCGAGTCATTGGTCACACGAGTCGTGTGACAAAGTCGAGAACTGAATTCACGACCCGTCGGAATGACACGAGTCGTGTCTCGGGCTCACACGACCCGTGTGTACCTGGGCACCAAAAATAGCTCGAAATTTTCACTTTTAGCTCATATAGATGCTCCTTGTCGGTTTTCTGGCATCCCAGTCGACTCCCCGTGGTCTTAATACGTCCAGTTGGTGCGCCGGCGATTTCCGTCCATTTTCCAGTCACTTCCGGCGGCTTTTGATAGCAGCTTTTCCGGCGCGCCTTTGACGTCCAAGCTTCTTCTCCGTCGACGGGCTGGCAACGATGGCCATCAACGTGGTCTCCGGTGGCTTGTCCGCGGCGTAGTGGCAAGTTGAGAACTTGGTCGCAGCTCATCAATGGCGGACGTCTTACGTGCAAGAGCTTGGGGAAGATCAGGGGCGGATCTAGAAAATAAAGTTAGGGGGGGCTAGAACAGTTAAAGAACCGAATTGTGTTCGTATGGTTCGTGAAAACTCAAGTTCACCTCGCTAATGTAGTCAAATTATAACAATTATTCGAGCTTATTTTTATAATAAGTTTAGTCCGACTGGGCTTATTATATGAGCCGATCAAGTTTACATTTCTCTTCGGTTAATAAATGGTCCAGCCAAGTCGCCTCATTTATTAAATGAGCACGAGCTTGAATATGAGGTATTTGACTTGACTCGGGCGGAATGATATCTCTAGAGGATTATATAATTTTTAATATCTCTCTTTCTCTCATTTATTTTAATGCAATTCTATAGTTTAAAAAAAAACTTACAGAGATTAATTATAAACATAAATGAATATAAGCGAAATTCTACAAATTTATGCCTCTACTTAAACAGATATACAAAAAATTGAATGTCATTATAATATTAAAGTCGAATATATAAGTAAATATCATATTTAAAAATAATTAAACTATTGAATATAATCATTAAAAATATGTGTAATTGTATATAGTAAATACTCTATTAGCTATTAATTTGTTAAACAATTGTTTTTATAATTTCACCATAAGAATATTGATAATTTTATGTACGTATATTTTAATTATAAAACACTTTTTCGAGCTAGTATACATGTTTCATAATAATATATATCATAAGAGATTGTAGAAAAATACTGACAAAAATATGTAGTTGAAATTAGTTAGTTAACACAAGAATACAATACCTTGTAATAATACATTTTATGTATATTTTATTATATATATATATANCTGGCAACGACGGCCATCAACTTGGTCTCCGGTGGCTTGTCCGCGGCGTAGTGGCAAGTTGAGAGCTTGGTCGCAGCTCATTAATGGCGGACGTCTTACGTGCAAGAGCTTGGGGAAGATCTCATGCACATTTCATGTGGAAAATGACAACTATACCCTCACTTAAAACCTTCTTGGGCCAGTCCAACTTCCTTTTGCTTCTTAATTATTTGTTGTTTCTTAGGCCGGACCAAATCAAATATTATGCCCTTTCTTCATTATTTGTGCAGGCCTAATGTTGGGCTCATTCTAATGCATGGTCCACATTCCGTCAACTCGTTTCTCGCCGTTTTCGACTAAAAAATTAATTCAACCCATTTCCTGTCATAACTCAAATAGAACACCTTCGTCATAGCTTAATAATATTAATTAAATAAATAATTAATTAAATAATAATTAATTATATAATAACTAATTATATATCAAACTACGGCGAAACAGACACAAAAATCACTACAAAATGCATGTAAATATGACGCATGTCAATAAGCAAATATTTAAATAAATAGTCCAAGATATATGGGCTTTTAATGGATTGATTATGTGGGATTTTATGTTATTATGTGTGTTTCTATTTCTCATTCACTCGTGAATATCTAAAGTATAAACTCATTTTAACAGTATAATTTATAGAATGAAGAAATCCCAAAAGGAAGATATTCAAGTTGAATGTCAAAAATGCCAGAAAATGACTAAGGGTGAGTTTGGTTGGGCTTAATGAGGTAGATATCATACACTTTGTATAGATCTATACAATTATATTATTTGGTTAGTGAGAGGATGGCCATCAATATACCAAATCCCTCGAAAATAAAACTTATGTTCATCACCATAAGATCTCTTTCTTCCGTCAGCCCACAGCGACTCGAGGAGAAAAAATTGTGGAACCAGAAAAGCATGTAAATGAAGCACACTCGAAGGAAAAGGCGAGGATAACACTCTCAAGGTCAATGCCCCCGAGAAGAAGAAGGCAAAGACCACTAAAGAAAATGAGAACAAGGCACTCATGAGCCTTGGGAACAATTCAAATCAAGAGAGCACTAAAGAGACAAACAACGATGGAAATACTATCCCGATGGAGGTCGTTAGCTCCTCGGACACCGGCTCAACCTCACCCGATGGAGGAGAAAAAATGGAGGAAACCCCAGATGAGGAAGGCTTCCAAAAGGTGGAGAAGCGCAACAAAGTTCACACAAGAAGTTGCTCGACAACCAACAATCCTCAATTGGAGCAAACAATGAAGGTCAAGGACAAGCCGAGCTCAAGAAAGGACTCGGGGAAAAGTGCGCACTCGAAGATAGGGGGCAACCCCTCATCTTCCCAATGATCATCGCATTTTGGAATATTAGGGGCTTTAACGGGCCCCTAAAACAAGATGAGGTTGCCAACCTCATTCGGAAGAATAACATAGACGTTTTGGGTCTATTGGAGACTAAAACCGACAATAGGCGCCTCTCTCTCTTCATGCATAGGAGGTTGCCGGGTTAGAAGTTTTGTGAGAACTTTCATGTTGTTGATCACGGACGTATTGCCATTCTTTGGAACCCCTCGAGAGTGGACATCACGGTGGAGAGCACCTTACCTCAAGTCATCCTTACGAAAATTCATTGCAAGGTTAGTACTAATTCCTTTCTTACTAGCTTTGTATATGGTCTCCATTCGCGGGGTGACCGAAAACTCTTATGGAATGATCTTAAAGCTTCTCGGGGTGGAATGTTACCTTGGTTAATTCTTGGTGACTTTAATGCTATTCTCAAGCCGGAGGAGAGAATTAATGGGGCACGGGTTACAAATCGTGATACTATGGATCTTGTTGATTTATGTGACTCTCTTGGGCTATCAGACATCCCCTCTAGTGGCTTCTTTCACACTTGGACCAATAGCCATGTTTGATCCAAACTTGATAGAGCCATGATGGACCCCCAATGGGTGAACGCCGACTACTTCTCTCACGCCACCTTTCTCGCTCCGGGCATATCCGACCACTCGCCTTGTCTAGTGAACATCTTCAAAGCCGGAGCCAATGGGGGTTCCCCTTGGCGCTTCTTTAATATGTGGACAATGCACGAGAATTTCTTGCTGTGTGTTACTAACACTTGGTGTCATGTCGGTAGGGGATCGAGGAAATTCTGTCTCACTGCTAACCTCAAGAACCTCAAGTGCTCGCTCAAGGCCCTCAATGAGAAATCCTTCTCACATATCTCTACCTGAGCCAACGAAGCTAAAGCCGCACTCAAGAAAGCTCAACAATTGCTCCATGACCATCCGGGCAACCTTGACATCAAGTCTAAGTTGAGCCCTCTTAGACTCCAAGCTCTCAACTTGGCCAAAGCTGTAAAGCTCTTTTTTCAACAAAGGCCAAATGTAATTTTCAAATTAAAGGAGACAAATGCACAAAGTTCTATCATAGCTTGGTTAAAAAGAGAGCGAAAAGGAATTACATTGCTTCAATTACGCGAGAGGATGGCACTCTAACCGAATACATGGAGGACGTGACAAAAGAATTCACTCGATATTATGAAGCTTTTTTGGGAACCGGGGTTGATACGGAGGAGGTTGATCAACAAATTCTAAGTTCGGGGCCAATCCTTAACCCCGAGCAATGTAGCACTCTAATTAGCCCGGTTACCGAAGAAGAGATCAAGTCCACCCTTAGAGGCATCGAAGGAGGTAAGTCCCCGGGTCCGGATGGATACACTTCTACATTCTTCTTAAAAAGTTGGGAAGTTGTTGG